TCAGGGAGCCGAGAGGGCAGCGGGACCCGCGGAACCCCGAAACAAGCGGAGCTTATGAGGAGGCTGTGCATTCGGAAACGAGGTTTTCGCGGACACCCCACAACATGTTTTATTCTTCGTCTCAAATCCTGGCAGGTGCCTCCCTTATATTGGCAATATCGATGAGGCTTCGCATTCATGTGGGTCTTCACCGTCGGTATGTTTTCTCGAGCGCAGGCCCAGGGGGTAGTTCCGCGCGCTTTTCGCGGACCTCCTGGTTGGGTATTGACCGCGCCCACGCTGCCGAGATCGTCCCCGCAGGCGGGAGCACGCCCCTGCTGACACCCCGCGCCACGCTTGGCCTGGTTGCTGCAGTGCGGCATTCTTCGCCCCCTGCCTTGCGCAGTGCGGCGTGCCCCCTGCTGCCAACCTACGCCTCTCTTGGCGCGGTTGCTGCAGTGCGGCATTCTTCGCCCCCTGCCTTGCGCAGTGCGGCGTGCCCCCTGCTGCCAACCTGCGCCTCTCTTGGCCCGGTTGCTGCGGTGCGGCATTCTTTTCGCGCCCTGCCTTGCGCAGTGCGGTGTGCCCCCTGCTGCCAACCTGCGCCTCGCTTGGCCCGGTTGCTGCAGTGCAGCATTCTTTTAGCGTCCTGACTGCGCAGTGCGGCGTGCCCCCTGCTGCCAACCTGCGCCTCGCTTGGCCTGGTTGCTGCAGTATTTTTCACTCTGTATCCATTCGTCGCCGCACTGTCTTTTCCCTAGCAACCCTGTGACTCTCCCGCCCCGCGGAAGCGCGGTCCAACAGCTCTGTGACGCTCAGGGCCGCCCCCATTTGCCTTGGGGGAGCGGTCCAGCAACCCTGTGACGCTCAGGAGCCGCCCCATTTGCACTGAGGAGCGGTCCAGCAACCCTGTGACGCTCAGGAGCCGCCCCCAGTCTTTTGGTGCGCGGTCCCAGCAACCCTGTGACGCTCAGGAGCCGCCCCCACTTGCACGTGGGAGCGCGGTCCAGCAACCCTGCGACGCGCAGGAGCCGCCCCCATTTGCAGTGGCGAGCGCGGCCCAAACAACCCTGTGAGGCTCAGGAGCCGCCCCCATTTGCACGTGGGGCGCGGTCCAGCAACCCTGTGACGCGCAGGAGCCGCCCCCATTCGCACGTGCGAGCGCGGCCCAGCAACCCTGTGACGCTCAGGAGCCGCCCCCATCTGCATTGGGGAGCGGTCCAGCAACCCTGTGACGCTCAGGAGCCGCCCCAGTTGCACCGGGGAGCGGTCCAGCAACCCTGTGACGCTCAGGAGCCGCCCCCATTCGCACGCGGGAGCGCGGTCCAGCAACCCTGCGACGCGCAGGAGCCGCCCCCATTTGCAGCAGCGAGCGTGGCCCCAGCAACCCTGCGACGCGCAGGAGCCGCCCCCATTTGCACGTGGGAGCGCGGTCTCAGCAACCCTGTGACGCGCAGGAGCCGCCCTCATTCGCACGTGCGAGGGCGGTCCAGCAACCTTGTGACGCCCAGGAGCCGCTTCCAGTCCCACACTGGAATGCGGTCCTAGCAGCCCTGTGACGTTCAGGAGCCGCTTCCAGTCTGCTGGATTGCGGTCCCAGCAACCCTGTGACGCTCAGGAGCCGCCCCCGTTTTCATTGGGGAGCGGTCCAGCAACCCTGTGACGCTCAGGAGCCGCCCCAGTTGCACTGGGGAGCGGTCCAGCAACCCTGTGACGCTCAGGAGCCGCTTCCAGTCCCACATTGAACTGCGGTCGCAGCAAGCCTGTGACGCTCAGGAGCCGCCCCCAGTCTTCTGCTGGCGCGCGGTCCAGCAACCCTGTGACGCTCAGGCGGATTCTAGCGTGGGATGCGCGAATGCTCCTTCGCATGGGCCAAAATGGCCACAGTGACCAAAAATAGCTCCCGCCTTGTTCTGGTCCTGTGGCGGCGGAGGCAAGTCTGGAGGGGCGCTGGATTCCCGCCTCCCCATGACGCTCCCCGTAGGCCTGGGTGCTCCTCTCAGGCCACGGGGAGGGATAGGGAGCGGGTCGTTGCCACGGCCGGATCCTTGTCGCCACGGCCCCTCCGACCCACGTGCCCTCCCCCCGTCTCCCGTTGCAGGGGGCACTGGGAGGATTGCATTCGACACCGGCTGCCCCCCTGCCCGCGTGAAACGCCGATGGGGAGCAGCACTTGGTTTCGGCAGGAGGCGGAGGAGGAGTCCTCATCCCGCTAACTTTCCCTTCCGCAGAACGGTGGTCCTCGAGTGATGGCATGCGTCCTTCTCGCTTGCGTATGGTGAGGAATCACCGTTAAGTGACAGTGATGGCATTCTTCCGAGGCTGGGCGGTGCGCAAGCAACCCCCAGACCTAGGTTGCTTGTAGTAGACGCTTCCACTGTCAGCAGTCTGGCTCTGTAGACATTTGTGCCCAAGCAAGGCGGCATAATGGAAGAGCGTCTCGAGAACCTGCGGTCTTTGATTCGCCAGGACAAATGACACGATGGGTGGTGGCAAGGCGTGCGCGGTTTGACTTGCGTTTTCGAGTTCTGAAACATATGGGCGCCGCTCCAGAGGTTTTTACAAAAAATGGCGGAATTGGATTCTGTCTTCGGTGCCGCTGCGCCTCCGCCAGCCAACATTCCCAATCGCCCTTCAGTTGCCCAACAACGCTCGTGGGCGGAATGCCGGTGGAGCAGAGCTATTTTTTATTTTTTTTCTTTTAATTTTTTCTTTTTTTAGCTTTTTTTACAGTTCCTGCTTTCTTATTTTTTTTTAGTTTTTTGTTTTTTTTCTTCTTTGTTTTTTTTTATTTTAGAGGCACTGGGAAAGGTTCGGTTCTTCAGCTCAAAGCCGCCGACTCTCCATGTCAACCCATGTGCTTTGCTGTTGAAACCAAGGGAAGGCGTGGACGCCACTGCTGCGGAGCAAGAGCGCTTCAAAGCACGGCTGATTTTGACTTCAGACGGGGCAGAGTGAACGAGCGAATGCCTCAGGTGTCTGTATCATATGGCACAGTGGACCACGCAGTGTCCATGCTGCAGTCTGGTTCTTTCATGTTCGTCATAGATTTGCAGGATTGTTTTTTCAATTGGCGCGTGTCCACAGCTGATGCCAACCTCCTGGGTTTCTTTTGTCCTGCCAGGCAACTACACGGTCGATGCGAATATCTTCCTTTCGGCCTTCTTGTATTTTGTGTTTTATTCTTTTTTTTTTTTCTTTTTTTTTTATTTTTATTGTTTTTATTTTAGTTGTCTATCTTTGTACTTTTTTTTTTTTTTTTTTTTGTGTTTGCTTATTTAATTTGTTTGTTGTTCCAGCGCCCGGCCTCAATGATAGTTCCATGAAGGAATTGTTGCGCTTGTTGGGGATTACAGCGGGCGTACACCTGCTCGATTTCGTGGACGACATGTTCGGGGAAGGAAGCACCGAAGAAGAAGCCTGGATGCGCTTCGAAAAATCAGTGCAATTTTTCCTGTCAGCTGGTGTGCCTGTTAGTGGGAAGCCCACTGGCGTTCGGCCCCCAAGCACGCGGCAGCGTTGGATCGGTTGGGTTTTCGATTCCGTTGAAATGGTGGTGACTGTTGAGCAAGACAAGTGTGATAAGGTGTGCCTCTCAATTGCACAGACTTTGTCGGCAGACGACGCCCGGACTCTTCGCGCGAAGGATCTGGCGACCACGGCGGGTTTGGCCAGCCACCTGGGCGAGATTTATCCACAAGCACGGCGGCGGTTGCATCCCATTTGGGCGGATATGAATGCAGCTGGTGTGTATGCGATGTGGGCACGGAGCCCTGTAGCGAACCCGCCTGTGCAGCTATCCGAACTCAGCAGGAAGAACCTTGCATGGGCCTTGCGATCGCTGGCGTCGCCGCCTGTTCGCTCTCTGCATTGCCACGCGGGTGCTCTGAGCAAGTGGGGCCACAAGTCTCCAGAGTTTTCTCGGTGGCAGGAATTGGCAGAAGCAGGCGCCATTCGGGTAATAGAGACAGACGCGTCTTCCCAACATGGCTGGTCATATCACATTTGCCACTTGGGAAAAGTAGTTTCAGGAACATGGCCGTCCGATTTCGCCGCGTCACAGAACTTGTCACCCGGTGAAGATGAGATCAATTACAAAGAGCTCTGGGTTGTCGTAAAATGTTTGGAGGATTACGGGGAAGAGTTAAGTGGCTGGCGCTTACTATTTCGAGTGGACAACACTTGCGCTGTTCATTACGTGAATGTGCGATACGGCAACATTCCTCGAATGGAGACCCTGGCCGAAAAACTGGAAGCAGCAGAAAGACGGGTCTCCTGTTGGGCATTGGCGGTGCATTTGAAAGGCATCGCAAATAGAATTGCTGACTTGGGATCGCGAAATTCGGAATTTGCGTTCCAATGGAATTCCGATCAATTCCAGCATGCTTCCATCAAGGATAACATCTTTCGCGACATCTTCGCCAGGACAGGTGCCGAATTCCCCCTCGACCTTTTCGCGGACAGGGAAGGAATGACAGCCAGGGCCCCAACGTGGCGTTCGCCCGAGCGCACAGCATTCGAGGCGTGCTTGCTCAATGAAGTGGTGTGGGCTCATCCACCGCGCGCCTTGCTCCGGCCTGCGTTGGAATTCCTGAGCGCCGCACTTGCACAGGAAAGCCCACCGAAGATCGTGCTGTTGTGCCCGGAAGATGTTGGGGCTCCGTGGTTCCGGCCGCTTTTCCTGCAGCACTGGCACCGTGTCCGGTCGTGGCCCAAAGGCTCAGATTTGTTCAGGATTCGTGAAGGCATGGCCTGGCGGTCTGGCCCAAAAACTGATGTTCCTTACCTTTTGCAGAGCTGGCAGCCAAACAGACGCAAGCGCAAGCTCGGGCGAGCCTGAAAAAAGGAAACATCATCTTTATCTGCTCATCCTTTTCTTTCTTGTGTGTCCAGGTTGCCATTGCGGGTTCGCTGTGGTCTTGTCGAACATCTATTCTCGCAGCCGCGTCCAGCTCGCGAAGCGACTTGCCACAAACATCCGACCGTGCCCCCGTCTCGTGTTTCGCTTGCACTTACCAGGGATGGCGGAAGCAGCGATCCGGGCGGCGCTCGAGCAGGGCGGCGCCATCCGCACCGCCATCGTCGAGGAGATTGCCAAAACCTTCCAGCCAGGGGAACCAGGCTTGCGTGCCATTGAGAAAGCAGCGGGTGAGGTCGTGCGCGACAAGGCCATTGAGGCAGTGACTGCGGTGTTGAAAGATCCTACGTCAGGTTTGTCGACGCTCATCAAGGACGAATACAACAGGCGCGCAGACACTGAGTTTCCGTACAGGGCAAAGCTCCGCGCACTTAGCATGGACGAGTGGGTGTCGGCCTGGCGCGATTTGGTCGTAGACCAGGACCAGGTATCGTGGACGCTCCAAGCCGTCGAGCAGAACAGTTCCCCGGCCACAATCCTGGCGCTGCAGGCGGCGCACCCCGAGAACGCCGACTTGCAGCAGCTTCGCCGCGCGTCTACAGCGCGCTATGCGGCAAAATTGTCATGGAAGCAGCTGTGCCTCCCCAGCCATGGCGGCTCGTGGGACAAGCTCGAGAACTTCCTTATGGAGAAGGCAGATTCACCATTGGACAATGTCAAGGCCCTGGCGCGATCGTTGCTGGTCTTGTTGAACCTCTTGGACCGCCGCTGCACTGTCGTGCAGTCCGCCAAGAAAACGGGGCCAGAGAAAGCTGCAGCGCAGAGGGAACACCTCCTCGAGTTCATTCACCTGGCCATCAAGCAATGCAAGCGGCGGACCACGAAAGCGAGTGCGTCTATCCCGCTTGGGCACGAGCTCTTGTTGCGCGACTTCGCCCAGGACCTCATTTTGGCGGAGGCCGCGCTGGCGGCCAAGGGGCTCGGAAAAAGGCTGGCTGCGTCTGATGTGTCAGGGGCGCCGTCGGCGAAGGCACCTCGCTACGGCGAGGGGTCTGCGGGCGCTTCCCCCCAGGTTTCGGCGCGCTCCAGTGGTTCAGCCAACCAGGGCTTCACCGCGAAGAAGGAGCCCGGCGACAAGCCCGACCGCGAGGCCTTGTTGGACACGCTGCTGCGCGAGCTGGAGCACGTGGTCCGGACCGGCAGCACCAAGAAGATCCAGTCTTGGGTTGACAAGCAATACCTCTGTTTTTTTTTTGTTTTTTTTTCCGTATTTTTTGTTTTTCTTTTGTTTCGTTTGCTTTTGTGCTGTCGTTGTTTGTTGTGTTGGTTTTTTCTTGTTTTTCTGTTCTTTCTTTTTTTCTTTCTCTTGATATATCTTTGTTTTTTTTTTTTTTTTGGTTTTTTTTGCATTTTTTTTTTTGCCTTTTTTGTTTTTTTTTTTTTTTTTCGTGCTTTTTGTGAGTGAGCAGCACAAGAGCACGATGACGTGCCTCTTCAGGGAGCACGTGTGCAAGAATTGCTTGTTCAGCGGCAAGGGCATCGTCAAACGCACGCTGAAGCACTGCAAGGAACAGGGAAACGATTGCATGCTCCCGTGTTCTAAATGCACGAAGGCGGGACGGACAAGCCATCTCCTGCACTGGATGTCGGAGTGCAAGAACTAGGCATCCCCAGCCGCGCGCCAGAGCCATTCGATTTTCCATGGCGTTTAGCCGCCTGCTGCTGTTCCCGACATGCAGGCCGCTTTTAAGAGATCCTTGAAAAATCAAAAATAACAGGCCTCAATGGGGTGTCCGCCACGGCTGGTTTCAGAGGCTCCGTATTGAGTGGGCCTTCCGTCTTTCATGCGCCACCTGTGTCTTCCCACTGCCGTTCCGTAGCCTCGGGTCCAAGACAATGGATGATTTCGTGCACAGAAGTGATTTCAATTCGCCCCCTTCCAAAGCAGCGCGCGCTGGATCGCGGCGGCCGCCCCTTCCGCTGGAACCGGCAGCTGCGCGTGCTGGTGCTGGCGGAGATGGCGCAGTGTCGGCGGTGGCGGTCCCCTCGCAGGATGCAGCGGTTCCTGGGCGCTCGGGCATTGTGTGAGTTGAGGGTGGCGGAAGGCACGTCGTTCTTGAGTCGCGCTCGAAATTCAGCCGACGCTGCCCTGAGGGCTGCTTGCGGGAGTATTCTGGCGCAGTTACGCTGGACACGGCGTGTTTCAGTCTCTTGTCGACCGGACGGTGCTTTTTTGTCTTTTGGTTTTTTTTTTTTTTTTTGTGTTTTTTTGATTTTTATGGTTTTTTTTGTTTTTTTTTTTTGTTTTTTTCTTTGTTTTTGTTCTTTTATCTGTTTTTTTTTTTGTTTTTTTTTTCTTTTTTTTCCATTATTTTTTTTGTTCTTTTTTTTTTGTTTCTGCGACTTCCACAGGTAGCAGCGGCTCTCGGGGCAGCCGCCCGTGCGGCGGTACCTGTTGCAGAAGTTTCTAGCGGGTATCCCAGGCTGACGGTGGCGGCCGCCGCGGACACGCCGAGTGCGATTCACGCAGACGGCCCTGGGGCTCGCAGCCTCGGTGCTCCCAGGGCCCCGCTTGCACTGGTTGCCGGCGAGAGTGCGCCGGTGCAGTTGGCCACGCGTCGGAAGGCTGCCGTGACATCGATCGCTTGTTTGGCGGCGTGCCTGGGAGGCCCGTCCACGCGCAGTCGACTACGACGCCACTGCGCAGCTGGTGGAGACAGTCGAATTCTGAGCAGCTTGGCACCACGCAATGGCTGCACTGCGACACGGAGCGACAAAGGTCATGGTGTTGTTCGAGGGATGATCGGCCAGCCTTGGGGGCACTGTGGGCGCGAGCAACGGCTTGCCTCAGGCCTGGATGGAGAGCGTGATGTACTCTGATGCTTTTTTTTTTTTTTTTTTTTTTTTCTTTTTTGTTTTTTTTGTTTTTTTTTTTTTTTTTTTTTTTTTTTTTTTTTTATTTTTTTTTTTTTTTTTTTTTTTTTTTTTTTTTTTCTTTTTTTTTTTTTTTTTTTTTTTTTTATTTTTTCGATTTGGCTTGGACTCCTCGAGCTTGGCATTTCTGGCGAGGTCTCAAAAAACTCGCTGACCATTCGCTGCGGCACGCCAAGCGGCCACTTTCGTTCGACGAGGCGCGTGTTGTCCAGCGTTGTCGCCTTGCCCAAGCCTCAGACGCTGGTTTGCGCGATGCTGCAATGGTTGCGACAGCATTCTTCGGGATCCGGCGCTTTGCAGAAGTACAAGGGCTTCTCACAGAGGATGTTGTTTTCCAGGAAGATGCTGTTGAGTGCCGTATCCGCCGGCAGAAGAACGATCCTGGCGGCGTGGGAATGCTCATCTGGCTCCCGCGGCTGCCAGAGTTGGGGCCGCTCTGCCCTCTGAAACTTATGCAGTCGTGGGCGGCTCGCAGAGCAGCTTTGTGGCCAGCTTCCACTGGTTATTTCTTTTGCGTGACCGGCGCCGCCTCCCCGAGAGCAGCGTCCGCGGATACTTTCCGCAGAATGCTATCCCGACATGTGAAGGACCCCGCCTCGGTGGGGAGTCACTCACTGAGAAAAGGCGGCGCCTTGTGGTAGAAACATGCCGCGGCGCTCCCGGAAACCCTTGTGCAAGCGCAGGGCGGGTGGTCGTCTCTCGATGTCATGAGAGCGTTTTACACGAAGCACCCAGACTCCGATCGCCGTCATTTGTTGTTGGGTGCTGCGGCGGCCGCTAACCCAAAGCAGGCTGCGCCCTCTGCAACTGCGCAGCGGCCGCTGCTGGCCTTACCTGTTTGGAAGCAGCCTCTGTAATTAATTTAGGCCCCGGTGGGGTAAGGGCCCTCCTGAAGGGACGCGCCCTGTGGCCTGCGGCTGAAGCAGCACTCCCGCCGAGCCACGGCTGTGGCATGAAGAAAATATTGCTACACGCTTCGCGTGCGCACTGCCTCTCCCGCGCCGTTCTTCGCCCCGGAGGCCTCCTTGGTGCTCCTGCTCGGCGGTGGTAGGCGGAAAGCGCAGTTTCTGAGGAGGCTGTGCATTCGGGAAACGAGGTTTTCGCGGACACCCCAAAACAAGTTTATTCTTCGTATCAAATCATTGCAGGTTGCTCCCCTTATATTGCAATATCGATGGGCTTCGCCTTCATGTGGGGTCTTTCACCGTCGGTATTGTTTTCTCGAGCGCAGGCCCAGGGGGTAGTTCCGCGCGCTTTTCGCGGACCCGCCCGCCCGCCCTGGGTTCGCACCTCGTGCTGGTCGCAATCCGCCCTTCCCTGGAGGGGTAAGGGCCCTCCCTGAAGGGATGCGCCCTGTGGCCTGCGGCTGAAGCAGCACTCCCGCCGAGCCACGGCTGTGGCATGAAGAAAATATTGCTACACGCTTCGCGTGCGCACTGCCTCTCCCGCGCCGTTCTTCGCCCCGGAGGCCTCCTTGGTGCTCCTGCTCGGCGGTGGTAGGCGGAAATCCGCAGCTCCGCTTTGGGAGCGCCCACGGGCGTGACAGCAAGAAGGCTAGAAGGCAATGAGGCAACAAGTGGCAAATGCACAACATCCCCGCTCCTCAAATTTCCCTGCCCCCCGAATTGCTGCGCAATCTAGGGGCGACGGAAATTTACCGTCGCAGAGCATGAAGCTGCCCTGATCGGCTGTCGCGCGGATTTTGACACGACGAATTGCTCTTCCAGATTTCTCTGCTCCACGTACCAACACGTCCTGTGTCAAGCAGCGCCTCGACAGGTGTCCGCGTCCACTGCAGGATAGTCCTCAAATGGGACAGATACTTGCCGAGAGAAGAAGCACTGCGAAAAAGGACCACGAACGCGTCCACCTTTGCCTCCGACGGCGGCCAAGGATCGAATCCGTGCAGAGAGCAGCTTTGGCCATACAAGCGAAGCGCCGAGGCGCAACCCCTAGCACTGGCTTTCCAGCCACAGAATTCGATCCACATAGCTTCTCTTCGAAATCCATCTCCGCAGTGCTCCGCGAGCGCCGTGTCACTTCTGCCCGGGGCATCTGCTCTGGAGGTGCCATCATCAACGTATCGACAGCGGCCATTGCGACAATCGCGTCGGCCAGTATGTCTGGCGAAGGCAATTGCGCAGACAGACGTATCATGGCACAAACTCCCAGCGCAGCCATTGCGCGTTTCTGCTTCGCAGCATCATGAGCAACACATGCACCTGCAATCTTTGGAACAGCAGCCGGAAGTGGTGCTTTAGCTTGCACGGGTCTCCAAGGTCTGGCATTACAAGTGCAGGTCTGCGCGCAGATGTCTAGAAATTGCTTCACACATGACACTGGCCAACGCTGAAGAGGAACCCAAATCATGCAAGCCTCTTCCGCCGAGATGCCTTTGAAGTCGGAAGGACCCGTGGCGCCTTCGTTGAGCAATTCCCGTTCAAGAATATCGATCTCGGCCGACTCGCCAGAAACAGCACTGGCGCGGCGCAACAGAGGTGCAAGCCATGATTCCGTACGTGGACGAACATTTCTGCTCCGTTCAGTTGTGCCGCTGAAAGCGGCAGCCCGGCTAGAATCCAGAAAATTAAGCAAACCTCGATTCATCGCGGACTGAAAAGAGGCAGCTGAGCCGGCGGCTACGGAAACGAAAACACGATGTATTCCTGTGTCATTCGCAAGGAGGAAGAACTCACAAGTTTTCGCTTGAGACGCAATCGTGCTCCTTTCCGCTCTGCACCGACACTGCCGACCAAAGCCGTTCTCCGAAACTATGGCCTGGAGGCGTCTGCCCCGGCCACACCGACAGGTGATGGAGATGATTTCATTATCCACTGCGTCCTTGCTGCATTCTGTCAGTCTCCCTTCCATGGCACGGCAGCTGGCCGCTGCCACGGGATCTGCCGCAATCCGCGCTCTGCGAGTTCAGTGGCGGACGTTGCAAGAGACTCGTCCCTCGTAGGGCCGTCTGCCAAATTCAATTTGGACGGCACACGCACCGTATGCAGCAGGAGGCCTGCAGCAGCTACAGTGAATCAAAAATCATTGACAACCTCATTGTAATCATCCTGCTGGCTCGCGCCCCGGATGGGAGTATGAAGCGCGACGTTGCTATCAATGAATGAGACGGTTTCGCAATCCTTGAGCGCTCAATTAGGACTTGCACACTGCAGATGGCGGCCACAAGCTCCCATAGAGAGATCTGCGCACGGCGCCGCTGAGCCCAGCGCTTCGCCGCCGGAGGCACTGACGCAGCGGACCACAAACGCATAGTAGGATGGGAAAGTGCAGACGCAATCTTCCCATCGCCGGCTGCGTCTGTGTAGGCGAAACAGCCTCGAGTTGGACAGGAGCCAAGAAAACGTCGCCACCACAGAGCGCGTTCCGCACGCGCCTCGGAATTCCTGCGCTCCTGCTGTTGGCTTGCCAGTGCAAAGCAGCCAGATCCGCTCTGGCCCCACGACCGAAAACTACGGAACCGCCCCAGCTGAGCCGACCTGCCAAACGTTTAGCTTCAGCTGGCTCTAAGGGCGGATCTAGTTCACAGAAAAAGATGGTCGTTTAGACCTGGCCACCTCTCCCACATAGAAGCAAACACTTTAAAGGTTTTTGGCCCCGTCTAAAGTACTTTGGTGGACACCTCCACAGTGTGTAAGGAACGAACCGCGCAGGCGCGCCCAAAATACCAATCGGCACTTGTTTTCGCGCTATCCCGAGCGAGCGCGCTCAG